GCCCAACACAGCCGCGAGCAATGCTCAGAGAAGGATTTCTCGCGCACCCCAGTACGATGAGCCAAGTTACCGCCAAGAGCAAATCCAGCCGCCACCGCAGCAGCAGCAGCATCATCATCAGTCGACCGAGATGACTCGGCGCAGAAACTCCCATACACCACAGTATGACGAAATGGGATACGACCAGGGATACGACCAGGGATACGACCAGGTTCCCAGTCCGGCACCGTTGAATATCAGCGGAAGGGGAAGTGCCAGCTCAACTCGTCAACGTGGCCACTCACCGCAGCCTAGCTATGGCCGAGGGGATGATATGGGTCAAGGCGGACGTTACAGTACCTCCCCACGACCTGAGTTCCAGCCGAGAGGTGACGAGTTGGTATTCGCAGGGAGAGGCGCCGTTTCTCCTGGTCATTATAGTACATCGCCACAACCAGATTACCAGCAAGATTACCAGCCCAGGGGCGACGAGCTGGTCCTCGCTGGCAGGGGCAATGTTTCTCCTGGCCACTACAGTACTTCACCGCAGCCGTACCGGGGCGATGAGATGGTTCGTCATCAACAAGCCTCCCCTATTGCCTCTCGTGACTTCGCTCCAAGTCCCATGGACGGAGCATCCTACCACTCGCACTCACGGAGCCAGAATCAGTATACCTCGCAGAGGTCTGAGCTGGGTGGAACGCAGATCACGGCTCATGGCATGCCCGCTGTGCCAGCTTCTTTGGTGCCAGGCGTCGATCACAGCGTCTCGCAGGAGATCTCGGAACGCATCTATGAGGAGAGACGTCAACAACGGCGCTATACTGATCAGAGCATGACTACCCCAACTCGTGGAAGACAACACAGTGAGCCACTCGGTTACGACGGAAGCTACTCGAACCAGTCCTATGTTCCACCAGGATACAACCACCGCTCCTCTGTGGCGTACGGTGCTCCTCAGCCTGACATGAACCGTGGACGGGGTGTTTCGCCCAATCCGATGAGAGGTCGGGGTGCGTCCCCTAACCCGATGATGGCAAGAGGCGCATCACCAAACCCGCACGGAACTAGGAGAGGTGTATCGCCCAATCCAATGAACATGACAATGGATAGAAGAGGAGCTTCGCCTCAGCCGCCCCCACAGCACATGAGGTCGCGGGGAGCCTCACCTAACCCGCATCACACCATTAAGCGGAAATCTGTTAGTCCCGCGCCGCCTCCGTCAGACCATCGGAGGCTCTCTGGCATCCCTTTCGGGCCGGATTCGTACGATGCTCTCAACCCATCGCTGTCGGCTACCAGTAGCAACGTTTCACGACCGGACCCCGATGAGAAGATCATTACTCACGATGGACGTGAGATCGACCCTTCGGACCACTTGCCTATGGACACATGGGCGCCGGAACCCGAGCCTAAGGGGCCCAAAACCCCAGCTACGGCTTCTGTCCGCTCACGAGCGTCACCAGCTGCTACTCAGGTAATGCCCCCGACTGGCCGTCGGCAATTACGTATTGCAGGTCGGCCTCAGTCTCAAGCATCGCCGGTCACATACGGTTCAGATCCTTACCACGTCCCGGGCACACCGCCGAGCGGAGGTCGGAACCGCTTGCAAAAGAAGACGCAGCGCATGTCTGCTATGCCTACAACATCACCGGCGGGTTCCAGTCCCCTAGCCCCTATCTCGTCGCACAACTACCAAGATCATGGCAGCGACTTTACGCCACCGCGTCTCCCCAGGGCAAGCACGTGGGACTACCCCAGCGAGAACCATGCACCACAGTACGGCAGCTCTCCTGGAGGCGGATATGGCGGCGCGCCCCCAATCCCAGCGAAGGTCCCCTTGCCTATCATGAGCGGCGCGAATGGCGATAACGAGTGGGCTTTGATGCAGGAAATGAGCCGCATCGACATTGGCGCCGGGCGCTCCAGGCGTCATCGTCACTACTAGGCGAAGTTGATGCGGCGTATGAATGACTGGGTGATGTTTATACGGAGTCCATGTAATTGTACTATATAATGGTAACGGGTCACGCTTTGAGTGTTGAATGGTTTCTTTTGAATGAACTGGAAACACGGTTTGGGCTACGGGGTCGGGTACGATGGGTTGGTAATGCTGTAGACAGCCGGAATTCCATTTCTTCATATTCATGATTTGCCGCCTCCGTAATTGATTTGTGATGACTTGAGGTAGAAGCTCGGATGCACAGCATCACCTTGAACAGCTCATGCCCAAGTTCGGAGAGGTTACGGGATGGGGCAAGTCAACATCAATTCCCGATCTAAAAACGAGTATCGAGACTGGTATCTTATTTGGTTTGGGGTTTCAAATTGTAGTTTTGGTGACAACGATGTTTGGGGAAGGCCGATCCGTGTCTATCTCGGGAAATGGTGCCCACGTCGTCTAGTCTTGCCATCCACTTCGGCTTCACCTTCTCACCTCAGGAGAAATCTCACGCCACGACTTGCGTTCATGCTCGAGTGGATTAACTCCATTCGACGCCCTTCGATTGACGAGGTCAACGGGATCCCACCGCCAACGAAATGTTGCAGCCATAAAAAGCTCCTACACCTAACCCCTCATTTTCTCCGGATCACCATTTCTCGCCGACTTACACCACCACCTACCCTTGACGACTGAGGCTGGCCTTTACTCAACAACGCGCTCGCGACTGACAGGCTTCATGTCGAAATGGGTTCAAAGACACCCGAAGACCATATTCCAGGAGGCAATGGTAATGAATCCAAAATGCTGTCTTTGTTTAATTGGCCTTCATGACCAAGTGGTAGCATGCTAATTGATGTCGTTTAGGCGGGCCCACTTCGTCCGGCATTTCTTCCGGCGGGGAGCCGCGCGGTGTGCACCTCTCCCGTGACGGGGACGGCAGTCTCGGCGACGGGGGCGATGACGACGGCGACGATGGCGACGAAGATGAAGTTGTCGCTGGCACCGGATCGCTGAACAATGCAGCAGACAACGACGATGGCAACGATGATAATGGACCCAAGAAGAAGAAACGAAAGCCCAGAAAGAAGAAGAAGAAGGCTTCTGCCGCGGCGACTGCTACGAAGCAATCTGACCCTCCGAGGGTGCCGCTGAGCGACCTCTTCACTTCGGGCTCGTACCCGGCCGGTGAGGCGCAGGCTTACACCAAAGCCCGGGATGCGGCTGCGGCTACGGGTGCGGACTCGGATATGAACACCGCGCGCACGACGGCTGCGGAGTTGCGGTACCAATCCCGCCCGCACCTCGAGGACCCGAGCCTCCTGAACGACTACCGCAAGGCCGCTGAAGTTCATCGGCAGGTCCGGCAGTGGGTTCAGGATACGGTGAAGCCCGGTAAGCAGACTCTGCTCGAGATCGCTACGGGGATCGAGGACGGGGTGAGGAGTTTGCTGGGGAACCAGGGGTTGGAGGTGGGTGATGCGTTGAAGGCTGGGATGGGGTTCCCTACGGGGCTTTGTCTTAACCATGAGGTTGCGCATTATACGCCGAACCCGGGGCAGAAGGATGTGGTGTTAAAGTATGAGGACGTGATGAAGGTTGATTTTGGGGTGCATGTGAACGGGTGGATTGTGGATAGTGCGTTTACCATGAGTTTTGATCCGGCGTGGGATAGTTTGTTGGCTGGGGTGAGGGATGCTACGGAGAGTGGGATCAAGGTCAGTCTTCCTCTTCGCGATATTCCACTTGCGGTCTTGTTGGGAATGGAAGGAGGCGTATGCTGATGTGTATGTGTCACAGACTGCCGGAATCGACGTCCGCATCTGCGACGTCAGCGCCGCGATCCAGGAGACGATGGAGAGCTACGAGGTTGAGGTCGGCGGCAAGATGTACCCCGTCAAGCCGGTGCGCAACATCTGCGCGCATGATATTGCGCGGTACCAGATCCATGCGGGCAAGTCGATTCCTTTTATCAAGAACAATGATCAGACCAAGATGGAGGAGGGGGAGATCTTTGCGATTGAGACGTTTGGAACGACGGGGCGTGGGAAGTTGTATGATGATGTGAGTTTCTCCCCTTCCCTGAAGATCGTTGGCTGTGTGACTACTTTGGCGTCATACTTTTGGCGTTGGGAGTCTGTGGAAGGAGACTTACGACGATGATTAGGTCGGTATCTATGGATACAAGTTGGATTATGACGCTCCTGCTCAAGTCAAGTTGCCCTTCCCATCTGCGAATCGTCTGTACAAGACGATCAAAGAGCAATTCGGAAGTATTGTCTTCTGCCGCAGATATCTTGATCGTCTCGGCCTAGATCGGTACTTGGCTGGTGTAAGTTTCTGTCGTATCTCGTGGCACTCATATTGTTTATTGACATGTTTTCTTTCGCAGCTCAAATCCCTGGAATCTCATGGCATCCTTGAGTCGTACGCACCTCTTGCGGATATTAAGGGCTCTCAATCTGCGCAATTTGAGCATGTGAGTTGAGATTCCTCAGCGTGAGGCTGCCAAGAAGAACGTTTAAAGAGATTGACCAAAAGTAGACCATCCTACTCCGTGAGAACAACAAGGAGATCATCAGTCGAGGAAGTGACTATTGAAGAGGGAAACAAAGAACCAGAGTGTGACTTCAAGGAGGACTTTTTGATGTTGTTTTGTGCGAGAAAATACGGGTGACGTCTCAACACGTGGTAGCAAATTGGATGACGTGACCTCAACGCTCCATCGTCCGAAGAGAGGCGATTAGTTCCTGCCATGGAGAGCCTCAACGCTTTCAATATGCTTTTGCAAATGTTCAACACTCCTTTACATTCTTTCATTTCATTCAGTTGTATTGAACTCTCCGCGCCTTTGACACCAAAGCCTCTTGAGATGTCTAAGATACATGTACTCTCACTTTCCCTCCTTCCACAACTTTGAACACTACCGTGTATGCAATGTAGCCTTTCTCCGCCTTTCTCACAGTGGCGACAGTGTTGATAAGAGGTATGATATTCTCTAATGAATCAAGAAAGAGGGGACGAATAGTAAATTCTTTTGTGTTACCTTTCACACTATGTTGAAGAAGTAGGTCGGCAATCATCGCCCTCGAACTGATTCGCAGCCCGTCGAGGGCTTCAGATCCTGGTGCACACACGCTTTTCAGCAGGCTGGCCCCGTTATCATTCCCACCGTTTGCAGATGCTCCACTCTGAAGCAGTAGTTTTACCAGACGATGTCGTCCGTGGTAACATGCACTTTGCAGAGCTTCTTGAAGAATATTCTGTGGTATATTGACTCGCCGGTCTTGACGGGGGTTGAAATGCTTGAGAAGCTCCTCGGCCGCATCAAAGCAGTTGTGCTTAAGTGTTGCCAAGACGCTCTGGTAGACTGTGTCTGCACCGATATCGTCTAGAGGCAGCAACTTGATGATCTTGACATGGTTCCCGCAAGATGCAGTATAGAAGGGGTGGCATCTGTAGTCGACTTTGATAAAACTTAACGCTTCATGGTGAATGAGCAGTTTGACGACATGTTCATGTCCATTTGCAGCTGCGAGGCTCAATGCACTCATTCCGTGGGCGTCAGTGACATCAATCTTCGCACCTCTTTCAATCAGTGCCTGGGCAATTGCGAGGTGCCCTTCTCTAGAAACTGGGACAAGAACATTGCTGAAATATGCAACTGTGTCCGTATCAGATATCTTGCCGAATAGCATGAGGCTGATCTGGCGGATGATTCTCCCCGATTTCTTCAACACTTCCATCGGCCTTTCACCAACTTCGACACCTTTGCGACAAAGCACATCGATCACGGTTTCCCAATGTTTAGCCAGGATTTCGGCACCAGTGGAAGACAAACTTGCGACTTCTCCTTCATTGAACATAATTTCCACGATTTCTTCATGGAAGTTCGAAGCAGCAGCCCAGAGAGCGGTTTTATATGACCCACTGGTCTGTGCATTGATATCTGCTCCCTTTTTGATGAGAAGTCGTACAGTGGCCTTGCGACCCTGGCTTGAGGCGGCCACAAGAGCTGTACCAAGCCTCCCGCCTTGTGCGTTCAAGTCTGCTCCCTTTTCAATGAGAATTCTTGCGAGACCATCATGGCCATTGTATGAGGCGGCCTGAAGAGCGGTCCCATATTCACCTCCCTGCGCATTGCAGTCCGCTCCTCTTTCAAGGAGGATTGCCACAATACCTCGATGGCCTTTCAATGCAGCGGCTTGAAGAGGGGTGGCAAGGTATCCACCCTGCACATTCGGATCGGCTCCCTTATCAATTAGGATTTCCACAACATCTTCGTGACCGCTGAGTGAGGCGGCTTGAAGAGCGGTGCCGTTTTGTCCACCCTTTGCATGCAGGTTTGCTCCTCTGCCGAGGAGCATTACCACAACCTCTGTATGACCATTCAAGGCAGCGACTTGAAGAGCTGTGAGATCATTTCCACTTTTGGCGTTAATGAGCTCTGGGTTTGCCTTCAGGATCTCCTCCACAGCAAACACTAGACCTTCGAATACACAGAAGTAGAACAAATGAAGTGGACCTCCAATCTCTTCTTGAAACAGCCGCTCGCAATACGTTTGCATCCCTACACTCATACTTATGTCTGGTAGTCTGCCAGCCTCTTTCATGCGCTGGCATTCGCGGTCGTAGAGGTGGTCTTCGAGGCAAAGATCGGGATTCCATTTTTGTTTCTGTCGATATGAGCGTTCGTATCTCACTTCATGAATATGATCAAGATCAAATTCGCAAAGCTGAAAACAAATTTCGTAACATTCCTTCCGACCAAGGAATTCTCGTACAAGAGGGGCAATGGTGTCGGAATCCGCTCGAGCAGCATATCGAGCCCAGTACTGCGCAGCATACGGCGCTAATGGGTACGAAGATCCAAACTCCGCTGGTAGAAGACTATAATCCATGCTCAATAAGTATGCAAGGCATACTCTCGCCATTACTGATTTAGCGATGCGTTCCTCAAAGGCACGAGGGAACTTTGTCTCCATGCGGTCTGAGAGGAGATATTCTTTTACCGAGAAATGCGCGAGCTGAAGAGTCTGCACTGTCTTCCCCTTGGATCCTACAGTTCTAGTGACAGACACGACCAGGCTAGGGCAGTAGATTGAAAAATCGTCTTTGTCTGGCCTTGATGCGGGATTGAATCTCGGATTGTGTTTTTTTGCTTCAGGAGATACTGCGATGATGTCGACGGCTTCCTCCAGACGTAGGGGATCTTCCGAATGGAGCAAAAATTGTAAGATTCTCCATGCTTTTTGTTGATGTACAGCAGGAATTCTATCCAATATTCTCGCATAAGTCTCATCTAAGGTCGTCGGTAGCGAGTTCAAGGATGATCGGAGCTCCTCGTCATTCAAGCAGTGCCGAAGTTCAAAAAGTTGACATGATACCCAGCGAAACCTAGAGCATTGATCAGTCTAGTAAAACCAAACATGAGACATTTCTGCTTACATTCCGTCGGCTTTTTCGCTCAGGTATTTTTCGACCTGTTCCCGAGAAGACTTGTTGTTTCGCCATTCTGGCAGGTCGCCCCATGTCCTGAGTGTCGATCGGATGAATGCTCGTATGTCTTTATTGACTGACTTGTTCCGCAGAGGAATCTGCATGTCCTTGGGAATGATATCTTTCAATACACGACGAATGTCTTCTTCTTGGCGACTTGTGACCAAAATATGATACTTCGCCCCTTCAGATTGCAGGAGAGTTTTGATCCATTGTAGCAGCCCTTTATTTTTAAGCGCTTGGCCTTGTTGGCATTCGCCAAGTAAATCCCGTTCATCAAGCGCATCAAGAACAATCCAGACTTCACCGGCTACCTCAAGCATAGCATTAAACCATGAACATAGAGAGTCATTGTCCGGCTGTGCTGAACTGGCTCCTCTGGATTCGAAGACCGAGTCGAGATATTCTTGAGCAGCCTTGCTCTGGCAATGAAGTTGTTCTATGAGAGATCGGATTGCACCGTCTAGCAACTGCTTCTCAGTGTTCGTGAAGGTGAAATAGAAATAAAGGCAGATGCTCGTGCTGTTTTGTAGATCTCTGACGATCGTCGAGCTTAGGATCGTCTTGCCACATCCTGGGCCGCCATACAGCCATAGGGATGACCCAGGATTTGTCTTCCAGTACAGATACTCGTTCGTGTCAAGAAACCACTGGCCCGTGCCATCTTGATGTAAATTGGACGCCTTGTTGTGATCGATCGATGGGTCTGGTGCGGAAAGCCATGAATGAATTTTGCCGGAACGATCGCCAGCGGTCAACTGCTCGACTTTCCGATGTGTCTCCTTTGTGGTTGCCTCGATCTGAGAAACTAAATTACACGTGAGAAACAATAAAGTCTATCGTTAGGTGCTGCCTACTGACCTTTTCCCATAATCTCTCCAATTTTTCTGGTTTGTTCCACATTCATGCCCTCCATTACTAACAGTAGCTCTTTGGCATACGCAGCGGCAACAATCGCCGCATAGTTTTGCCACCTATCGTTCTTGTGGCTGTCTGCGTAGTCACAAATTCCTCTGATCACGAGACAGGGAAAGTCATTCATCAGACCGGCCGCCTCCATCTCAAAACAAAGACACCCTGTCCCTAGTTGTTGTAGGATTTGGTCTCGGGAAATGCTATCTTTGACAACCGAGTTTCCGGAAGCAATGATGCCATAGTGAATCTCAGGATTGGCATCGGGTCGATCGTCTCTTTTGAGTTCATCTTCAGGATTGCAGTATACGCAAGTTTCAGTCTTGGTAATGCTTTGAGGTCTTCCTCCTCCGAGCTGCCCATTTTGGACCAATTCAGCACCGGTTCTGTCGTTTGTAGACCTCCGTGGAGAAAGAAGAAGAAACACGATCATGCTACAAATCCAGACTGTTAAAAGGTGAAGATAATGGTAAGAAAGCTGAGCGAAGCCCATTAGGGCCTTCGAATGTACGGGGCTCTGCACTTTTCCAGCTGGCACATGGTTCGATGACGCTGCGAATAGCCGATCGTTCTGAGCTCCTTGATGAATGAATGCCGCGTCTTTACCGCGCGGTTCGGCCAGCCGTGGGAACAGTTTGAGCGCATCAGCTAAGATCCTGGGCAATAGGTTGCCATTGAGTCGCTGATCAGCTTTCAACTTTGCTAACCCTTTGAGCAAGACTGCCGGTGGAGGAGCAAGCGAACCAACTCGCTGGAATTCGCCGTTTCCCTTCAACTTCCCCAAGTCATATTGTATGACTCCCGAAGACCCATCGGTGGGCCGACTAACCACAACGTCGCCGAGGCGGATGTCAATACCGTCTTCTAACCTAGGAATACCGGCACCAATGCCGACCATGAGACCGAATCGAATATGCGGAAGCGAGAGAATCATGCTGTTCGCGGTCGTTGCTGCAGATACAAGACCATAGCTTCCTTCGGCTAATGAAGCGATGATGACATTGTGAGCACCGATCCGGCCCCATGAGTAGCTGTTCGTATCTCGTTGATTTTGAACGAAGTTCTCTGGTTGCTGGTGTCTTTCGTCGAGCATAGCAAGCGCGGCTGTGAGTTCTTTGTCCAGAGCAGCGATCCATCCGATAGTATAGGCCTGAAAATTTGGCAGTCGTATCTGATCTGACATGATTCTTTCGTTGAGGGACCCACAGGTCCCACGCAGCAGTGAGGGACTCCTCGACTTTTACAGTGAACTCGGGTTGGTCGTGGATGGTCCAGATGTGTCTGTGAAGTGGCATTGTCTGAGAAGAAAGTGATTGCAGACAGATTAAAACCCATGGTGGATGTAGCCGCCAGCCTGATCACTCACTGCACAACACGTAAGCACAAAGCTAAGATGATTGGCCTGGACCTGCACAATGCGATGTGCATGCTGAACCAATGAGGAAAAACAGCAAGGGGTGCAAGAGATACCCATGTTGGAACTAGCTTAGCCAGGTATCTCGTGGCTGTCTCTTGCATGTGAGTCGTGGTAACGGTCATACTTGACATCGGTTTTCCGCTAATGACGGATGCACGGTTCTTTCAAATGATTTTGAATATTACGATGCAGAGAGAAGCGGTTTCTAGAAGAGTACACTAGTAGCACTATGAATTACTTGATATGCGCCGGAAGATATCATAAAGGGAGTCTGCTCCATGGCTGGATGTCTTTAGTCTTCTAAGCTTCTTGAGCAGCAGACATTATGGGGCGGTCGGAAATCCTCAAGCGCTGTGCTGTTGTATGTCATACTCAAAAGTAATCGTATGTTGGTCGGAGTAAATGAGCCTCAATTCTCACTTAGCAAGAGCGTCAAAGAGTGTAACCAGACCTATCAAAAGAGCTCCGGCTGTGACGATAAAGCTGCCCACAGTCACTCCAGTCTGAACGCTTGTCTGCACATCTGCCTCATACTTCAGAACCGCAACAATTGGCCAGGCCACGGCAGTGGCAATACTAATGATAGTCGGCAGCAGAACGACTATCGAAATCAGAGTGGTATCCCATCCAACCACGAACCTCAATCCCTTGAGCGAGTCTGCTTGGGCAAGGTCCCGGTAGACAGAAGCGCGTCGCAGCTCCCGTATGTCCCTACGAGGATCATGACCAGCCGGTACACTGGTCGGAGTCTCATTCTCTACCAGCCTCAAGATTCGCTGGGGGACATCGAAGACGGACACTAGTGGTCCCTTGTAAATATCGTCTGTGATCTGTGTGTCGTGTCAGTGATCTAGCTAGAAACCGTCGTCGGACGCATCATATGCTGTATGGACTTGTTCGATTAGTGGTCCTTTCACTTACCTCTACGATCTCGAATCTAATCAGGGCCTTCGGGAGCAGGACCTGGGAGAATCCGCCCTCGATCCTGTCCAAACGATAGAAGAAGGAGAGATGTTTCCACATCTGAAGGTCATCCATCCCAGGTTCGTCTGGACCTGGAAGTGGAATACGAACGCAGTCGGGCCGTCCGATGAAGACGGGAATGAAGTGCCCAGGGTACTTCAATTTCCAAGCTTCATGATAGTTTTGAGAGAAACGTCGTCGACGGATGGCGAACAGGGAGTAGGTGAACCAGAAGTATGACCAGATGGAAGGCCAAAACGAAGATACCTTCGACACGAAGACTAGACAACTTGTGGCCTTTTTTAAAAAATGAGTCAGTATCTGAGAAGTAGATTGACCGGGACAAGGATTTAGACAGGGGCAGAGCTTACGTAGTAATGGCCGACACTAGAAAGCAGCGATCCGATTGTGAAAGTGCCGCTTCCTATCCCAAGTGTCCTAAAGATGAAGGCAATGACCTGGACTATTAAAACGGAGGTGATGACAAGGCTAGGACTGGACCAGACAGAGTAGAAGATAAAAGAATAGACGACAATCGAGTTGCAGAATATGAGACAGGCCATGAGACGCCAACTACCGAGAAGTATGGGGAAGTATGGTGCCGGAACAGGCTGCGTGACTCCGTCAACGATGAAGGCATTGATGGTGAAGCCGTGAGGTCGCGTGGGATGCAATCGTCGGTACCAACGAACAAGACCAATGAGGAACGCATTCCTCCTGGCTAAGCGATCAACAAGGCTCTCGATATCCATTGCATGAAGGCCGTCAAGTTGTCCCTAAGCAAGTTTGTGTTATCTAGCTGTGATGAATGATTGAAGCAGGACGAGAAACACGAGGCTGCGATACCAATCACTTCAGCATCTCTTGCCATATGACCATGAGGCCATGGCCGCTCAATGCAGGGTCGCGGCGGGGATAGCATGGTTGGTAGAGATCACTCAAGCTGGAGCTGAAGATGGTGGCTGACATGGTCTAGTGATCACCCAATAGGATATGGTTGACGAAGCCGGCCTCTTTTCTGCCCGGTCTAGATGTGAGCTGCAACGAATGAGATCCTTTTTAGACATGTTTAAGGTCGTGAAGCTGAAAGATCACACATTAGATAGTCGTTCAAGTGTTAGTTCTCGTACTGGCCGGCACAGGCAGGTAGACTTCTCCCAGAGGTTCGGCCTGTAATCGCGATACATGAGATACAGAATGCAATGCTGCTCATGAACGACAAGTCTGATTTTGTTCGCTAAAATGTAATTTTGGTACCAGTATGTTTCGCCGCCGTACCCGTCAACCGCGCAACCATGAGATCGTCCTGCGCCTTGAGCTCGCCCGCGGGCTTCTCCGTCTTCGGGGGCCGGGGCGCCCTCGGCTTCCTCTCCTCGGTCGCCTCCTCCGCGCCCTCGCCGCCCTCCTCGCCGTCCCGCCTGGACTTCTGCTCCTGCCTCTTGGGCGCGTCCTTGCCGAACCGCTTCTTGTACCTCGTCTGGTCGTCCTCGGCGAGCTCAATCTTGAGCATGCGGCCGAGCAGCTTGTTAACCCACCATTTTCTCAGCTTGAACTTCTTCTCCTCCGTCTTCTTGTCCTCCTCGCCTTCGGCCATCTCGTCATCGCCGTCCTTATCTTTGGAGGCGACGAAGTCGTCCTCCGTCTCGATCTCCTCCTTGATCTTGACGAAGCCCTTGACAGCCCAGCCGGCGGCCTCGGGCTCGCGGAACTTGACCCAGCCGTAGCCCTTGCACTTGCCCGTGTCCTCAAAGGTGGCGACCTTGACCCAGTCGATCTGCCCGCACTTTTCAAAGTGCTGCCACACGTCGTCGTCGGTCGTCTTGAAGCTCAGGTTGCCAATGAAGATTTTGCTGCTCTTGGGCACCTCCTCCTTGGCCGCGGCCGCACCGGCGGCGCCACCGGCGGCAGCGGTCTCCTCTTCCTTCTTCGGCCGGCCCTCGAACGACTTGGAATCCTTGATGAGGAGCTTACGACGGCTCAGCTCGGCCTCGGTGAGCGCAATGGCGGCGACCTTGGGTGCGACATCGTTGAAGTCGACGTAGGCGAAACCCTTGTTGGAGGGCTTGTCCTTGCCGACCTGCTTCGTCGTGGGCATATGTAATCTCGTGATGGACTCCTTGGTGATCATCTCGCCAGAGTTGTCAATGAGCCACTGGCGCAGCTCGTCGGGGGTGACGAAGAAGGGCAGGTTGCCGATCCACACGCCGTGCTCGGAGCGGGCGGCGGCCTTGGCCTGCTCCTTCTCCTCCTTCTTCTTGGCTTCCCTCTCGTCATCGCTGTCGAGCTTGACGGGGAGCTTCTTGCCCTTCTTCAGGGCACGCTTGGCGCGCTTGGAGGGGGGTTCGGGGGCCTCGAGGTCAACCTCGATCTCCTCGACGGCGGCGGTGGATTTGCGCTTCTTGGACGACTCGGGGGATTGTGACGGCGCATCTTCGACTTCAACTTCGGCCTCGGGTTCGGCCTTGGCCTTGGTCTCCTTTGACCGCTTCTTTGAGTCGGTGGTAGCCATTGTGAATATTGTGGGAGCTATGCGATCTCAAAGACTGATTGCGCTCCAATAACGGCAAAGGGTATTTCGAGATTTTACCAGAAACCACCGTGAGAATCTCGCATTGAGACCCTTGGTTGGCTTGGGCCCAGAAGTTTTTTTTTTGTTCCTGGACCACAATCGATAAGCCGATAAGAGAACATGGGCGGAACCTGGCGGGTCTCGACCGCTCCACCCCGCCGCCGAGGCCTGCTCACCGAGGCTGACCTTGACAGGTCAAGGTCAGACGGATGTACCCAGACATGTAGCGGTACTTGGTGGCAGCTTGGGCTGCAGATAGCTGATTCTACCTAGCGGTCGAGGAGGTTGGCACTTTGCCCGAAAACTCGCGCCCTGCATTTTTGGCAGGACTTTGAGTCCTATACGTGTGACTAAGAAGCGGATACGTAATTATGATGCAGAAGGGGAAAAGAAGAAGAAGCGGTGACTGAGACTTTTTCTCTTGGGCCTCAGATCTGTGTCTCTGTCTTTCTGGGTCTCTGTTTTTGCTCTCCCTTTGATTATGCGTATGGATGTGTTTGTAAGTCATCATTTCTCGTCCGGGTCGGTTTGTCTTGTTTTGATTCAGAAGAGAGCATTGCGGCTCAATGTAACCCGGCGCAAATGAGGAATAGAGTGCCACCTAAGGACTTGTCGTCAAGGACAATGAGGGGCATCCACTTTGTGGCCGGGGAGTTCCAGGTTCTCTGCCATCAAGGGACGCTGAAGAAGGTTAGAGGGGTTGGAAGGGGTTCATGGATGATGATGCGAATGGGGCCACCCGCGACCCGCTTACTTTACTTTACCTAAAGTGCTTTTTTGCTTGGGTATCTGTAGAGAGTTGAGATGAGCATCCATTGGCTTGTCGACGCCGCCGAAGTCTGTCTGACAAGCCATATTCAATCACTACCGAAGGTTATTGTGCTTTGACAGTTCGCAGCCACTTGAGATATTACCCTAGAATAAGGTACTCTACTTCCGGTGAGTGTGCGAGGTATCAAAGTCAGCTGAAAAGGAGGCTGAAGAGAAGAGAGAGTGGAGAGTTGTACCGGTGACTTGTGACTAGTAAGCCAAGGTACCCGGTCTTCAGAGTGAGACTCCCGACTCAAGAGGGAGAGAGGGAGAGGGAAAAAAATAGTCAGAGACAGCCCCCCACCAGTAGTAGAGGCGCCAACGCCGCCGGATTGGCGCCCTCCATCATCCACTCACGTGCGGGCGATTCCCGACGAATGAGATCCGCCAGTCGCCCAGACGAAACCGCCCAGTGGCCGCCATCCCGCTGCCCCCCTGTCACAACAACTCGCAGAGTGCAGGAGTGACAACCAATGCCGCCTCGGTAAGGTGTGGTCGTGTGCCTTCTCAAGGTACCGTAAGTATCTGTACATTCTTACAATTGGTGGATGGTGCCTGCTGTTTCGGCATAGGGCATCCATCGGGCCCTTGACCGCTTCTGTTTAATTTCACAGGCGGCTTGCAGCAGCTCGACCCAGCGGCGCCGCACCCTCTTTCTCGAGGTACTGTAGGTTCCTCTCTCTACTTACTCGTAGTACGCGGACATCTGCAAGCTACTATGAATGCAGTCCAATCCCTAGCACATCTCTGGATCTATATTCGTATCCAAACCCTTTTCGAGCATTCCTCTCTACTCGGGCAGCCTGTAGGCCTGCAACTCGGCACAGAGAGTGGGTTAGGTGGGCATCCCATCCAGCCAACGCACGTTGCTTAGCTGGGTCTAGGTGGTTCCAGCGATCCAGTGACCCAGTTGCAGGCTTGCAGCAACAAATCCCACGCCGCCATCTGAGCAAGGTCCAGCAGGCCCAAGCCTACCAGGTTAGTCCCCAGCAGCTTAGTATCACTGTAAAGAAGGCGCGAGGTGCGGTACAAGCACTGGAAGAGGAAAAGGTCCTTTTTTTTCCCTTTTCTCCAGTCCCCTTCGCTTCCTCAGGTGTGCAGCGGGTGCTATCCCTCGCTCCGTTCGCCTCCATCGTCCTTCTTCTCCTTTGCCCAAATCCTTCTGCCAACTGCTCTTCTTTCCCCTCACATTCACCCTCTTCACACAAAGCCCACAACAATCAATCCAAACAAGAAGCCGTCCTCCCGTCTTCTTCCCGACACTTACCGCCCGACCGACTCATCTTCAATCAAAGCAACTCGAGCATCTGGTCGCACCTAGATTGTTGTCGTCGTCGCCGTCGTCCTTTTTGGTCGCAACCGTCGTCGTCAGCCAGAGTCAAAAAGCAGGAAACCTCCCGCCCGACTCCGACTCCCCGATCTTTCGAATTCAATCACAACATGAATGTGTTGTTGTCACCACAACCGCCTCTCTTCCAACATCCCCACGACCCCAACCGCATTTCTCCCTCTCGTTCTTGTGAGTATTTCCCTCGTCGCTGTGTTCCCTCCCTGGGCTGGCGTAGCATGGGGCGAAAGACAAATCTCGATTTCGTTTCGCAACCGCTACCCGACGACTCGTGCATCCTGACGCTAATCCTTAACAGTGAGCCCATTTCACAACATGGCCACCAGCCGCAAGCGCAAGGCTGACGAGGAAGGCGATGAGATGTCCCTCTCTCCCCGAAGCTCCCCGTCCACCTCATCAAGACAACTTCAGCGCCCGTCGAAAAAGGTTCGCTCGAATGAACTGGTCGGCCGCCCACTCACCCTCCCCCGACTCCTGGAGACTCTGGACCCGACCGCATTGCGAACCGTTCTCGAGCGAATCTGCGAGCGTCACCCTGACATCGGCCAGGAGGTTGTTAGCAGTGCCCCTCGCCCGACAGTCGCCGCTGCACACGGCGTTTTGCAAGAGTACCAGGACAAGGTGAAGGCCGCCATTCCATACGGAGAAACTAGTGCCGACTACACCTACTACCGGGTTAAGGCCCCCTTGACGGCTCTTATCGATGCACTACTTGACTTCACCCCGCAATATCTCCCTCCCAACGAGAACCAGGCCACTGTCTCGCTGCAATATCTGGACGGAGCCACCAAGATTATCCACGCCCTTCCGGACTGGGAGCCGCAACAATATCGACACCACAAGGAAAGCGCATATGACGAAATTGCAAAGGCCTGGGCCCTGGTCATCAACGAGGCTGCTAAGCGCGGGGGCGGTCTGAGTCTGCACACTGGAGGATGGGACCAGACCCTGGCGAAACACCACGAGATCTCGGGCGGACGCATGGGCACGGCAATGAATGCTATGGCGGCGAGCGTCAGCTGGATGGCGAACGGGGGCTCCAATGGTCAACAGCCCGGAAACCAATCCTCGGATCCGAACTCAATCCTCAACCAGCTCATGTCTGGCACATATGGCGCACCTGTGCGTGTCGGACCTTGGTAGAAATCTGAGACTGGAACGACGAAAGAACAAAATCATCCGAACGTCAAATAATAAGCATCGCCGCGACATCGGCCACGGTCGGCGGCACCCACTGAACATATCACGACGACTATAACGACGGCTTACTTCCTTCTTTACTTCATTCAGCATGGGACGGCAACGGGCATAGACTTTTGGGTTCCACGGACACATTTTCTGTCAGGACCACGAGGGGTTGGGCGGCGTTTTGTCACTTTTCGTTGATTTGATGATATCCCTTTCCTGACGCTAGTTGCGAGTCTTCTCGTGGTTGAGAGTTGGGGTTTTTCGATCCCCCATCCTCTTCCTGCGGTTGACGAGGAAATCGAGTCACGCGCTTTGCATGTAGGTAGTTAGTTTTGGTTTTCTTATGTTTCAGGGACAGCATCTTGGGGACAGCAAGCAATCGATGATCCCGCCCGCTTGGGAGAGTTCAGTCCACTCATGGCTTATAATTATCACCCTTGACGGAGACGCTGTGTGGGTTGATTGAGGACGAGTGTGAGAGAGAGGCATCTCGTTATGAGAAGAAACGAGTTCACACTTGAGTCGTGCAGAGCAGATAACGGTTTCACAGCAGTTGGCTACCTCATGTGTTAGTGTAGCATGAAATTAAGGTATTAGCACGTTGTATCCATGCAAGCGTACGTGTCCCACGAGTCGCTCAGTTTGCGTGCATCCAAGACGGCTCATCTGTTTCAACTGCCCACTGAGTCGGTGACATCCGCGATGGCCACATGCGTTCTCCTTTATAACTCGAGGAAGCTAAAGGCCTGCAGCATTGTTGCAGGTTGCATGTTTGTCTGTTTGGCATTGACAAACACCTATATTCATAAGAGAAATTGCCCTCTGATGATGAGATACCTTTGTACGGGCAAATTCGTATGGGTGGTCATCATGATGCAACCCCTCTCCTCTTTGCGTGCCTGATCATCGTCAGCCTTTAACAAATGCCGAGCCCGGGATAGCCGTAGACAGTTCCTCATTATCGTCGCCGTTCTTCCTGGGCCGCCTCTTTTCTGCCCTCTGCCAACTACCTTATGAGCGAGAACCCCAGGCCCGATGAGACGTCTGGTCAATACATTGTGATTACTCGTTTTCTTTTGCCTGTTCGTGCGCTTTGGTCATGTTACACCAAAGCAGTCCGACCTCCTCTCCCCCTCTCCCTCTGATGTTTCTCGTGGACTGTCCCTGTTCAACTTCATTTTTTTTTTCCATTTGGGTGTGTATCGTGTATCGTGTGTTGTGTGGTCTGAGCAACAGACTAAACCCTTCTGGATGAGTTGGACTAGAATCAAGAAAGGGCTGAAAGCCTGAAACCCGTCAGAGAAGATGCACGTCTCTCGCTGGTGGTGATGAGATTGGATCCTCCTTCCCTTTCACCGATTACGAGATGACCCTCCAACCTTGCGGGCACTTGGGATGCACCTGACATTGGCCGCGCCCGCTGTGCTCCCACACACACTGTTTGGCTGCTCCAGGGTTGCTCCAGGAAAATTAAAGCTTTCGAACCTCGTTTTGGCGGCATATAGCGGGGTAGGTTTGTGGAGGCTCTTACTCCAACCGTTCGCTGTTCGGACGACAGCGGCAGTGAACTCTGAGGTGATGGTTCAGGTGCCACGGGTGCCCAGGTCCTCTCCCTTTCCCCCGCTCGCTTTCTTTTCAGGTACTTTGCCGCTGACAGTACCTGCCGAACCTCCCCGGGGGCTAGGCCTCAGCCCTCCTGTCAGGAACAGGCAGATAGCTCCAGCCAATGTTAGCGGGGGCTTATGTCATATAACCCGGTCACATGACTACCCGTCATTGCTGCCTCCCGCGCTCGACTCGACGCGTCAAGGCAGGCGTTAATTGTGAACGCGCGACACATCTGCTGAACCTCACTTCGTTAGGCAGAAAGCCCATATTTGCTCTGCCCACGACGCCCAGCCTTCCGTCTCGAAGGAATTTGTTCCAGCTCCGAAGTCCAGTTCGAGCATTCTTATCCCTTGGGCTTCTGCGGAGGAGATATTCTGTTCGACAAGATGCCCGCGTATGTTTGCCACTTCCAAGACGCGTCTCGTCCACTGACACACTCCACCATAGCCCGGGCGATCAGCACAGCATCGTGGTGAACCCTTTCGAGGAGCCACAGAAGCGAATGAGCGAGTACACGGCACAGGAAATCGCTACTTTGCAAAGCCGCCTCGAGAAGCAGCTCGGCCCCGAATACCTATCCTCACGTTCCGGTCCTTCAGGCCAAAAGGTCCACTACATCACCGCCGAGAAGTGCATCGCTCTTGCCAACGAGGTATTCGGCTTCAATGGCTGGTCATCATCCATCCAGAACATCCAGGTCGACTTTGTCGACGAGCACCCGCAGACGATGAGGATCAGCCTCGGACTTTCTGTGATCATCAGGGTGACGCTCCGCGACGGCACGTTTCACGAGGATATTGGGTATGGGCATATCGAGAACTGCAAGGGCAAGGCTGCGGCGTTTGAAAAGGCGAAAAAGGAGGGCACCACAGATGCGTTGAAGAGGGCGTTGAGGAACTTTGGCAATGTGTTGGGCAACTGCATATACGACAAGGATTACCTCGCTAGGGTGATCAAGATGAAGGTTGAACCGAAAAGGTTCCACGAAGATGACTTGCACAGACAGCGAGACTTTGTCGTCAAAAGGGTGGAGGAAAAGGCACCAGCGGCACCAGCGGCACCACCCGTAAAACTAGAGACCACGGAATCTCTCGAAGACCTGATGGATGAAGGTGGGAACTCTTGAGTGTGGCCGATGGAGCGCAGAGCTCTTTTGCTGACATGACTAGACTTCGACGATGTGGACTTCGCCATCTCCGAAGGCGACCATCCTGACGAAGTTACTCTCCCAGCAACAACGAACGGCAACTCGAACAGTAGGGCTGCGAGCGTTGCCCCAGCGCCCGTACCTCAGCACATGCAAGCACCGTCTCGTCAAATGGGCAGGAGCACGTCAGCAGGAAATTTAGGAAACAATGGAAATCAACGACCACCTCAGACACCAAATCAAGCACAATCACGACCGGGCCCTCCAACAGGCTACGGCAACCGACCTCAACCACCAAACCAACCCCGCGCACCCTCGAACCCGTCAGGCCCCTCCGCTCCGTCCGCTCCCTCAGCAAATGCCAATGTGACTACGCCAGGCCAGGCTGGAAATGCCGCCGCCGAACCCATCGGCTTCTTTTCTGCACGTGCTGTACAGCAAATCCCAGAATCTGCTCTGCAGGGGAACAATGCTGACGCCCCCATGTTGCTGCCAGCCGGCCAACAAGCCTTCAATCCAAAGGCAGAGAGCCCATCCATACGAAAGACCCCCGGCATAGACCACTCGAGCTCAAAGCCGCTCTCTAGATCTGGTCAACACGTCCCGCCAACCCCATCGCAACAACCGTCTACGTCCGGCTTCACACCGGTGAGACCGGGCAATGCCGGCCCGGGAGGAGGAGCCGGCACGCCTCACCCTCAGTTCAGCCAGACTCGCCGTATCGGTGCTCCTGGAGGCGCTGGTAGTCCCCTGGCTAACCGGAACTCGTACCGGCCACCCACGATGAAGCGTCCTTTGCAGCAAGACGGCGCTGGACGACCGGCCCTGGCTGATGTATCGAATAATGGGACGTCGGGCAACCCTCCTGGCGCACCGGGAGCAGATCCGAAACGTCAGAAGATGGCTTGAGTACAAGCAGTATTGCCCTGATCGAGCGTGGTTCTTAATTTGTTTTGGCTTGGAGCTTTGGAGTCTGGTTCGCTAGAGAGTATGGATGGCATAATTATGTACGGAGTTTCTGGGGCTCGGCTGGCTAACGTCTGGCCATGGCGCCATAGACAATCTTATGGAACCTTATGAACTACCTTCCTCAATCATCTCCTTGAGTTTGGGGTGCCCTTTGAAATCACACTTGTGACGCCTGCACAATACAAGTACACTCTTAAGATCAACTTTGCAAGGTGCAGTTCGCAGGCAACCTGAGTAAAAAATTGTCAATTGCTAACGAAGTTACATTGGTGACTTGCAGTAGAGTCCGTACGAGTTGCCCAATATTCATTTGGCTTTCGAAGCTTTGGCTAGATGGTTGCATTTGAGTTTGACCAGGGTATATATCACCACTCAACACATGATGATCAACTAGACGCCAATAACGTCAGTAGCAGTGGATGTCCTCGATCGCTGGCTATAGTCATAGATTACAACATGGGTATATCGAGGTTGTTAACGAACAGCATATATAGAGTGAAATGTTGAATTATATTAATAACTATAGAGATATCGATGGAACGATGGTATTTTTTTTGGCTTCGCCCTCGACATTTGAGGGGACTTTTAGAGAGAGCGCAAACCGCAATCAGTCTGCAGACTTTTGGACAAAGGAGACACTTCCAAACCAACCAATTGCAACAACGTGGGCATTTTGACTAAATCATACGCCCAGCCACTGCAACTTATTCCTGAAGCTTAGCTCTGCTCAACCTAAGCATTGATATCGCTCAGGATCTTGCCATCGGCAGCTCCAATCTGAACGCTCAAGTCACCGAGGGTGAGCGTGTAGAGCGGCTGTTCAAGGGAGGGGCCGCTGGCGGGCTTGGAGAGCGCAATGTTGTTGACGGGCTGCCGGAATCCGGCCTTGCGGGCGATGGAGAAGACATCGTTGGAGTTGACCTTGACAGGCCAGTTGAAGGTTTCAACGCCGATAAGAGCCTTTCCGGTGTGGACGGGGCCAAAGTTGAGGAATCCGTCCGTGCTGACGCTGGCGATCTTGTCGTTGTCGATGCGGGCGACAACGGTGACGAGGGAGAGCTCGTAGGGCTGCTCGACGCCGGCGGGGGTCGGGGAGCGGCCTGTGGCGGTCTGGAGCTTAGCGCTGGGGAACGCCTTCTGGATCGCCTGGAGGCCGATGTTGACGGCGACGTCCCAGGAGGGGATGACGATGTTGGAATCCTTGTTTCCGGACTTGGCGATCTCGGCCTCGGTGTTATCTTGCGTGGCCTTGGAGGCGTCGTTGACGGAGAAGAGGGCCAGGGGCTTGAGGGCTTCAGTAGAGGCAGCGGGCTTGATGATGACGTTGCGGACCACGCGGTAGGAGAAGGGGGGGTTTTGCTGGGAGACGGAGACGATAACCTGGGAGTTGCCGGTCTGCAGGGTGTCAAAGGTCCACTCAATCTGGTTCTCGACGATGCTGGCGTTGGTCAGCTTGACAAAGGCCGAGTTGAAGAAGATGTCGACGCTGCCTCCCTGGCCCTTGAACTGGTCGTTCTGGCGGACGGTGAAGCCCTGTCCGAGCTTGGTGATGATGGGCTCCGTGGCGGGAATGAGCTTGAACTTGGGGGCCTCGGAGCTGGCTGTCACGTTGGAGGCGGCGTTGTTGTTGTTGCCGCTGGATCCATCCTTCAACAGGGGCTGGATCTTGACCTTGTACTCGGCGCCCTCAGCGCCCTTGATGAAGACGTAGCCGGAAGGGGTGACGCGGCTGGGCAGGTCGATGTTGAAAAAGTTTTCAACATTGTAGGGCTGGGTTCCGTGGGTGACGGGGCCAACCCATCCCTGAACTTCGAAGAGGAGACCGCCAACGAACTGTTGAATACGCTTGAACTCAATGCCAGTGGTGATGTGGATAGCATTGCCCTGGGCTCTGAGGATGAGCTGCTTGTTGTCGTTGTCGTAGAGGGCTTGGAGGCCTTGCTGGGTGATTGGGATGGGAGAGAGATGGCTCAGATGCCTAGGGGGCTGCTGGGAGGAAGACATCTTAATGAGATTGTGACTTTTCTTTCGACTCAGCGAAGGAAGTTGTTCAAGTGTTGGATGTGATGATTAGAGTAAGGTAGGTGATTGAGAGTGGAGTGAGTGATGATGAGCAAGAGAGAGTATCTGATTCCTAAGTTCTCATACCTCCTCTTATACTCGAAACCAAGCCGTATTTCCACACTCAAAAGCAAAAGATTCTCTGAGTTTCCCATTCGCTTCGACCTTCACCGACTCTTGGAATGAATCCGTCGTCTCGATACCTCAATGCGGTCAAAAACCAGCACATCACCAAGCCAAAAAGCAGCAAAGGCGTTCAGCTCCTCGTTCCGAGCATGTTGAGCCATTCGTGTTGCCGTACGACCGTAGCTGCATGCCATTTAGAGTTTCACGATGTCTCTCCTGCGGTTGCCTCTGGACCTTCTCGGCTCTGTCAGCTGCATTGCCCATCATGCCATTTCATGACGCCTTTTTTCGTGATGTTGCCTCAGCTCAAACGGGAACGGTATCAGTTGATCGTGAGAACCCTTAGAATATCTGAGAATCCCTCGCCGGATTGAGACTAGAAGCGGGCGGGGTAGCCTATCCCGCGTGGTTAACCGTCGTGCCCGTCTACCAGGTGCGTGCCGTCCAGTGTCTCAGTCGTTTCTCAGCCGCACAAATGTTTGGTCTAGGCAATTCACTTTTTTGCAGCTAGAGGGCGGCAAGGCAGGTTCCCCGCGCGTGGCCCGGTCCGTGGTCCTGCATGTTGATGTTCACGGTAACCCGGAACACGATGAAAACATTCCTGGCGGGGGATTTTGTGGCGTTTCCAAGGGTTCAGCTGAAATACCATCTTGTGTGTGTCTTTCTCGTTCTCGGACCCTGCAAACAGTTATTCGTCCAACACTGGACAAGAAAATGCCGGCAAGGGAGATAAGGGATTGCGTCTTATGAGGCCATTCTGAGTACAGATGGGCGCTCATTACGAGGTGAGACTTAAGAATGAGGAAATTTGCCATTTTAATGGTAAAATGTTGCAAGCCACTCAACGGATGAATGCATGGCTGCTGCATCAGAACGGGTAGAGCCGGCTGGCGGGTACATGATGCAGCCAGGGAAACTTGCGCATCTAGGCCAGTTTTTTCCTTGCCGGCATGGTTTCGAGGTGTGTGGTCGGTGGCGTCTGCAAAATGTGTGGTTTTGGGTATGGTCGAGGATCCATCCCATTCATGGATTGAGGAACTCCTGCCACACGAGTGGCGGTGAAGGTTTGAATGTGAATGTTGACAGAATCTTGGTACATGTAAGTAATTTGGACTTTCGATGCTCATGCTGCATGAAACTTGAGGGCATCGTGCCAAGTATCGAGAAGGAAAGGAGAAGGGTGCATCGTGACATACAGTCTTGAGCGCATAATTCCTGCAGTCATTAAATATGTCACATGTGTGTAAATCATAGTGGCGGCTGCTTTCTGAAACCTACAACATGCCATCGAATAATGTTGTCAGTCTGTGCATGCATTTCAAGCTGGAAGCATCTAGACTATACGTGATTGTATCCTCGTATCTAACAACAAATTATTGTGACTATGAAATCCTTTTCCTGGAGATACATGTAAGTTTCTGCATAGCTTGTTGAACACCCGCAGTGATCAGTATGATGTGACACCGACTACCATAGTAGGCGTTCACGAGAACAAAGGTCCAGATAAGTACTTGAGTCCGGTATCACAAGCAATCGTAACTATCTTTTTCCCTGGCCCCAGCTCTTTCGCGATTTCAATAGCTGCTGCGATATTCATCCCCGAAGATGTCCCAAGTATCAGGCCTTCCTCTCTGCACAATCGACGGCACATATTCCGGGCGATGCCTTCATCCACAGTGCGGGCCTCATCGTACAATTCTCTTGTAACATGAGGGGAGATGAAGCCTGGCGCGACGCCGTCAACACCGTGTGATCCGCCCTGGCCCTCTGTCAGCAAAGCCGCCGACGAGGGTTCCAGTAGCACCACGCGGACGTTGGGGTTCTGCATCTTGATAACGCTTGACACCCCCATTGCCATGCCTCCCGTCCCGAACCCGCCGCAGAACACGTCAAACCCGCCAGGGAACTGGCGGACCAATTCGTTGCCAATCTCGGCATATCCAATAAGTGCATCTCGGTTGCTGAACTGGTCGGTGTAAAGGAACTGATCGCGCGAACCCAATTGTGCCGCACGGTTCTTCATCGATGCCATGAGATCCGCTGTGGTGTTGCCAGAGGGGCTGGGCGTAATATCGACCGTAGCCCCAAAGGCAGCCATTGTCTGCAGCTTCTCTTTTGCGTATGCGTCGGATGAGAGGGCTAGGAACCTATACCCCTTCACCGCACAAACAAGTGCCAAAGAGGATCCAGTGCTTCCGCCGGTCGCTTCGACAACTGTAATGTTGGGCGTGAGATCACCACGGCGTTCGGCTTCCTCAACCATTGACTTGGCCATGCGGTCTTTGTAAGAGCCCGTTGGACTTAGGAACTCCAGCTTGACAAATACATCGGCGCAATGTTCGGGGACGATGCGCTTGAGTTGGATGACTGGGGTGTTGCCTATAGCATCTAGGACGCTGGAGTATGGCAGAGGGGTAGGCAGTGACATGTTGGACAAGAGGACGGGTTTGGTTGTGATGTAAGTCGGAACAGTGAGTCGTGCATTGATATGACTTCCGAAAATCTGCTGGCAGTTGATAGTTAAATATTCGCAGCAGAACCTGAAGAAAGTATGATTACGTCTGGAAGTGATGCGATGGCATTTCCCCGTTGATAAGCTCTGATCGCAAATGCCTTCCATCTTTCTCCATGAAGTGGATCGATCTCAGGGATGTTCCACCTGGTTGCAGCTTCAGAAAAGCTGTTGGCGTGCTCGGACTGGGGTATTCTTACACGAGCATCATCTTAGTCTCTTCGGCCGACAAATTAGGTCACTAGTTGGTGACTCACATCAGACCCCTTGTGGGCTCAATGCTGAGCAGAAGTTCGGTTATTGTTGTAAAAATATTCAGAGCGGGACTCAGAGATATATCCCATCTTCAAATCCGTCCACCGGACCTGCTAAGAGGCCGCCAATTCTTCAGACGAGTGCTAAGACGGAAGAGGGCTGGCTCGGGGTTCGCTTTCGAGAATAGCAAGAGAGGATAGAAGCAAATTTCACCGTATAACGTACACTCATGTATCAGGAAATTTGCAACATCTACTCGCAGACAGTATTAAGAAATTCTTTGTGTCATTTATGACTAGTCATTCCGCGCATCATTATACAGCCCTGTACTATAATGCAGCAACGCAGCAAGATTCCTCAACCCATTTTGCTACCCATAACATCTACCTTATTACTCCCGGCAGATAAACACTCATCTCGAATCCGCTGGTAAATGGCAAAGTCATATTCTGGAAGCCGTTCTTCGGCTCTCGCAAGAATTCCAACAAATGCTTGTATCCGTCCGCCGCTGAGATCGTGTTATCAGTCAGGACCACCGCGCCAGGTCGTAGTCGAGGAAGAACTGTCTTAAGCGTCGGCAAAGCGAGCGCCGACCAAACTATCAACAGTTTAGCCACACAGAGTTCTCTTCACATTATAGCAGAGTAGTAACTCACTGTCAAGAAGGAGAAGATCAACCCACGGAAGCCCCTGCTTCAACGTTTCGAGTATATCCCCCTCCCGCAAGTCAATCTCTTGCTCGACCACCGAACCGCACTGTTTCCAGTAGCCGCGCGCAATCGCAGCTTTTTGCCTCTCTTTCTCCGTCGCAATTACGGTTCCGGATTTGCCCGTTGTAGCCTTGGTCTGAGCTACAGCAAGCGCAAGATAGATGGTGCTGACGCCGAAGCTCGTGCCGGCTTCCACGACATTGGTGGCGCCCATAGCGTTGATTAGCTGGTACGTGAACCGGCACTTGTCTTCATCCAGTGCGACGAACTTATCCAGCATGAGCTTGTCAAACTCGTTCTTGGCCTCTCCCTGGCCATGCTGGTCTTCTAAATCGCCGATAGCTTTAGAGGAAAATACTTTGCCGGTCTTGGAAAGGACAGCCTCCTGATCCAGTGACTTCTGGTGAAGCTCAGATAGGAGTTGTAGGATACGCTGAGGTGCGTTGATAGTGGCGGGAGCTGGCATGTCGTAAGTCTTGGTCCGCGAGGGAAAAACTGACTAGATGTACGAGGGGGAAATATGCGTAAGTTGGAGCAGTCTTGAGGAGAACATTCCTGTTCTTTTTGAGGCTTATATAGCCATCGTTTGCAGGGTCGATACGCTATGGAAATTGAAAGCGGCACCGAGCTGGTTGCCTGGTTTTGTCTCCCTTGGCTTCGATGCGGCGGGCAAGTGTTTGCGAGCCTGTTCCCTGTCAATGAACTAATGGTGTTCGGGAAGTACAGGATAAGCGGGGTGGCAGTTTCCCAGCGAGTTAGCGCAATATGCATATGGGGGTATGGACGTGAGCAGAAGAAGGTGTCTATTAAGTGTAAAGTGGGTATAATCACCACAAGCTTGCAGGCCCAATGCTATGATTGATCCCAATAAGTCCTACGGCGCTAGGGCGAGGTGGGAATGGGAAGCAAGTCTGGTTCAGTATCAAATGTCCATGACTCTCGCACTGCATGTAGTCTGTCACGGGGCCAATGGCACAGTTTCTGAGCTCCGACTCAGCTTCAAATGTTATCGCCCTTCGACGTTGTATTTCTGCAGGTTTCCTTATCTGGGCGATGCACTATGAAGTTCAGAAAGACCGATATGGTTTATAGAAGATTATAGGAACATACATAACATCATCTTTGACCACTCTGATTCTAATATTGTGCCTTAGCTGCTGATTTTCGCAAACGCTAAACTTTGAACAGGAAGGTCAAGTTGAGTGAGCAAGCACGTGGCTAGAAGGGACGGAATTTCATTTTTTTTTAGTCGTAGGAACGCACTGATCCATTCTCTCATGCAAACCAAGGTACTGGCAGGTCGGACTCAATACAGAGCCACCATGGTATCGTTCCCGTTG